TCTGAGGCGACACTGTTCAGTAGAGGAGATCCAGAGCCTGAAGGCTTCACTGCTAATGTGTGTTGAACAGTTGTGTCGCCGTTGAACTCAAACTCTGTCTGAATGAAACCAGTTAAACATGGAAATAAGATGTATGGAACATTTAAGGTCCAGAAAAACTCCTTTCCAAAAGTTTTGGAAAATGGTCCCACTTGTTTCTCGTTGTACGATGTTGGTTGACGTTCTTTAGATCTGGTTGTATTTCAGGTCTGAAGGATTTACCAGTGTTTTGTAAAATACAATCACATGTAGAGAAAAAGAGAAGATGGGAATAAAGTCCAACTTTATTTTCCGTTTACAGATGGAGCCTTTCTTTTTTCCAACATGATATCATGGTTTTTTTTAAAGCTGTTATTGAGAAAATAAAAAACCCAGTAACTAAAGTTGTTGAGTTACTTTTAAAGTTTCACACAGATAAATATTTACTGTATAATTACATGAAGTCAGTTTGGAGACTAGCAGAGATCTGTTGGCAGATCGATCATCGTGTTGTAATGTGTGTTAGATCTGACTGATATAGAACCTAACTAACGTGAACCACTGCTCATCTTTTCATCAGCCTCTCTGTCGTCGACCCCTAGGTTTTAATAACCGGACCATTAGTTGTGAACTCAACCTGAGTGAAGTGATGGGTTTTTTTTTGTTGTTATTTCCGAGAAGCAAAAGCTGCTTTTTGGCAATTCCCATCAACGTTTCCAGCCTCCCACTGATTCCTCCCACTCATCTCCATCCACCTGTGTATCCTGAATCAGAGATGTGAGCCAGTGTGTTCAGGTTGTATGTGAAGAACAGGTTCAGTACAGGCTTCCTTTGTTAACAGATTGATTTAAATCCCCTGCATGACTCAGTGATGGTCGTGGTTCTCTCTCCCTTCAGTCTATAATTAAACGTGAAGTATGTTTCAGGAAGAGCAGCCTGTCTGAGCAAGTGTTGCCCTGTAGAAGTCACTGTGTGTGTGTGTTCACGTGTGTGTGTGTGTTCATTTGTACTCAACCTTCTGACAGTCTGAGCTGGACTTCAGTCAGGTCTACATTTCTGTTTGTATTTGTTGTTTTAGCATAAAATACATTCCTACGATTCTGTTACCTTCACACACCAATGGATTTACATTTAAGAGTTTATAAGAGTGAAATCCAGTCAGGCTGATTTATCATTCTGTTAATGTTGTGTTCAAAGTTAGTTCTTCATCAAAATAAGACATAAAAACCAAATCCCTGTGAATCATTTCAGGCTGTAACGGCTCTGTTTACGTCTGTCGCTCCTAAATAAATACCAGCTATTTGTGACTCTGCTACCTGACACTGCACGTCATCAGATACCTGTACGTTAACAGCTTTTGGGCTGTAAATATTTGAACACATCTAAAAAGACTGTTTTATCAGTTTTTAAAAATAACTTTTTTCCACTGGTATTTGACTTATTTCAACAAAGTTCAAATCACATCAGTTTTTCTGTATTTTGACAAAGTTCAAATCACATCAGTTTTTCTGTTCAAACCTAACGTGTTTCTTCACTGAATTCACCAACATCTAAATAAATAAAGGAGCCAAATGACCTGAAGGAGAGGAGAAGTCTAGATCTCTGAGGTTGTATTTTTGATTTAAAGGTTTTGGCTGAAGTTTATCAGCAACTTGCTCCTAAATATGTTTCAGGTTACAGCTGAGCTGCTCGGCTATTACTGGACTGTCTCTCTGACAGAAGTCTCTGCTGCCGTGGTTGCCACCAGCAGCCTCGTGCCTCTTAAGTCAGCAGGGCAGAATGTAACCTAATCAGGGATACGCTTCGCCCAGACTCACTGCTCTGCGAACAGATCGTAAACCCCGTCCGACTACGTTACTATTACACACACTGTCATCTTTGCATTTCTCTCCAGTTTCCCACCGTTCCCTCCGTCGACTGTTTCTGTGCAGTGATTGGATCAGGATGGATTTTTGGAAATGCAGTCGCTGCCTTAAGATTGATGGAGTAACGTTGACACGGAGGTTCCATTCCACAAAGGAGCAGAGAGAGAGCTGTAGAAAGAAAGTCAAATGGCCAATACTCTTCTTTTTTTTGTGTGTCTGAATTTTGAAAAACAAACAAATGAATTAAATTTCATTCACAATAAACAGATCCACATATTTGTGAGGCTGAAGAATGAGCTCATCGTTTGCATTTCCTCCTGTGAGTACAGACGTTTCTCCTTGTTTTCCAGTTTCTTTGGAAACAGCAACAACACAGACTAATATTTAATTCAAATGAAGGAATCCTCCACCTTTTTACCCCCCCCCCCCCCCCCCTCCCACCTCCCCCAGACAATCAAAGACCCTTCAGCATACTGCACTTTTATTTCCAATGTCCAAGCAGACATTGTTATGATTCCTTCAACCCGTCGCTGGTTTGTTGTCCATTTCCAGACAACATTTGTATCAGCCCTGGGATTATTTCTGACTTTATGACGTGGTGGTTTGTGAAAGTAATCCTGAATTGGAATTCCCCGGGAAATGACTGCAGAGCAGCCTGGAGCTGCCGTGGGCAGAGGTGACTGAGCGCTGCAGCAGAGCTGGAAATGTAACACACGCCTCTGCTCCTCCTTGGCACCTCCTGCAGCCCCAGGACAGCTATTCTTGGTTTTCCCATAAGGATAAATTCTTGCTACAAATGTTTGGCAGCGAACTCTGGGAGTTACCCAAGCACTGTATAAGGCCACCCCACAGGCAGATGGGCTGAAAGTGTCCCAGTGTGATCAGTGTCAGGTGCTGGTTGGTGGAGGACGGCAGCCGTGGAGGATTGTTTTACTTTTGTTTTTTGTTTTTTTCTTTCACTGCGCTCCTGCTTCGTGTTTTACAGAAGAATTGTTCTGAGATTAGAACTGTGATACAGCAGAGGACAAATCCTCATGGACCAACCCTGCGCTTGGCTTATTTGAGTTGTGTAATGAATTGTAATGTGATCCACCTTGGCTGGTGAACACCTCCTCCTGTCAACTGGACTCCAGTATTTGTAATGGAGGCCACTTTAACGCCTGCAATATTGAAGTCTGTGCTCATTTAACCCTGGTGACATCACAAGTTATTTTCCGCACTGGGTCAGAGAATTAATCATGTGACTGTTCACACCACAGTCAACAGATCTCCACACATCACATCTGCAGCACATTCTTTTAAATTTTACTACAGGTCAACGAAGGAAGTTCACCTCAAGCCAAGGATTTTTTAATCATTATTAAATCCAGAGACCAAAGAGAAGACATTTGTATTTTTTACTGTGTTCCTTTAATTGTAACTAGTCCATGGTTTGTGGCTTAGATTCCATAGATTCAGATCTTCTATTCCAGCTTCTCCTTCCCATCGTTCTGACACAGCGTTCCGACTCTCCCCGTCCTCTGACTGTGTGGCGCTCCAGCTTCCCTGAAATGTACACACTGCAAATTCCCTGGCACCAGAAATGGTTCTTAAAGTGGGTTTTAATGCTTGACCGTCACACACTCGTAGACTTGGAGCACCGCGCGCTCACATGAGACCTCGCTGCCCACAACAAAGCCTCTGCTGTGCACCCTCCTCCGTGAGCCTCTGATACTGCATGTGGAGTTGGTGCACGACTATATAAGGGAAACCATTCTTTGTTTATTAGTTGAGAGAAGCACATGGGAGCGCAGCCAGACGTCAGGGTAGAAAATGGGGACAGAAAGAAGACGAAAGACCACTCCAGACCAAGTGTGCTCTGCTATGGAGCGCTGTAAACACTGGTCCTTTTTTTATGGTGGTGTTTTGAGCCTGCCAGCTGGTTAGCGTTACATGTGGAAAGCTCAGTGTTAATCAAGTGGCGGAAAATATCCTTTCATTTGTGTCCAGCGCCGTGAGCGGGCATCGCTAACGCAGCTATAACTAATAGGGTATGAAGGCTATATTAGCAGCGACTGTGATTGTGAGAGGAGTTATGAGCAGCGGTTGATACAGCTCACGGTTTGGCAGGTGTGTTCTGACTGGAGGAGGCTTCACTGTCTCATCTGTCGACCTCCAAACTGGGTCTGGAGTCAAAGAAGCCTCACGGGATTAAGAGTTAATCTTCAGTTAAACTTGCTGTTGAGGGTTGTTTATGTGCAGTTGCCCCTCTGCCAAACGGCTGCTCAGTGTTTTGGGTGGCACAAGTATTTTTCTTTTTAATGACACTGCGAAAGGGCAGTGACTTCATACGGTGTCAGTTGATCCGTCTGTGTAAACGTTGCCACAGTAAA